GATCTCTACACTTTTTTAGAATATTCTTTGTTTGTATCTTGTACAGCATTGTAATCAAACCTTCACTTTAATAAAATTGCTGGAAAAATATGGTGATTATACAATTACACGAACGGCATAAATGTCAGGCGTCTTCTAAAGATATAAATCAACTCACGACATAAACATTTGTGAAATTTAACCTGCTTATTTGCAAAGGTTGTTTTTTGTTGACTATGAAGTTGGGAGAAAATCGCTAGTAGTTCAGATGCTTGATTTTTCTTTCAATAGATATCTTACTGCTTGCTGATAGGCGTAGCCGTGAAGAGTTGATAGCTAGCATTATACGAGTACACATGGATTTACTCAAGCAATTAAACCATTAATCAGACTAATAAATTAACGGTGCTAAATTTACAACAGCGGATGTGACGTGATTCTCTTCTCAAATGACGCAGCCAAGCTGGATATAATAATGCACGAGTTGAGCTTTTTTGCACTCCCCGTGGATTACAGAAAGAAAGTTCCAATTTGCAATGCCAGTTTGAGGCGCAAACTAATTTTGAGTAGTTATCTTGGAAGGTGGCTGATATTATGCAAAGAAATGATTTTCATTTTTTTAAAACATTGTCTGAGGGTGAATTCTGGAAGTGCAGGTAGAAAACTGGCGCAAAGAGCTGAATTTTGCATTACCTGTCTGTTTCTCGCTAGCGTCATCCACGATGTTGTATTGAACTGCAGAAGCGACGTTCGCGTGGTCCAGATCCATTACTCGTTACCAGCTGAGAATTCAGCTGGTTTTCGTGTAACGAACACGTCAGCCTATCTGGTCGGTGGTTTCCCTCGAGGACGTTTTGCTTCGAGAGGAATCCATTTCGGAGTTCCAGTGTCCATCTGTCGTCCGTCCTTCTATGAAACCAGCCCATCGATGTTTTGCTTTAGAAACATATTCCGCTGGATCGCGAAGACGAGATGTTCTCATATCTGAACTGCTAAGTTCGACGAGATGTTGAGTGCGTTCGTGTACTTCAGAAGACGCCATTCCAGCGCTCTGTCGGTTGTTCGGAGCGCCTTCGACGTAAAGTGTGAAGCCACGTCTCTACTGCGTAACAAAGCACAGGGAGAACGGTTGAATCGAGTAGATGGGCTCGGAGCTCTGGGTCCGTCAGCTGGTCTGTGACCTCCTTTAGGAGCCCGAAGGCGTCCCAAGCGCTCTTTGCCTCCTGATTAGTTCTTCTTTCAGATCTTTCTCCATGTTCATCGAACGCCCGAGATATACGTAAGAAGACGTCTCCGTGATCGGAGAGCCTCCTAATTCCATTTTCTAATCCTCTCAAAAACGTTCTTCATGAATTGAGTCTTCTTTCGGTTTAGTTTCTTCAACATCGTCTCCGCATCAGTGATATCTCTTGAAAAAGAACAATGTCGTACGCAAAACGAAGATTCGAGAGGAATTCCCATCAACTCGTCTACCTCCCTCGTTGCAATCCAGTGACTTCATAATCCACAGCAACGCGGCGGTAAACAGTTTTGGCGACACGGTGTTGCCTTGTTAAACTCCCTTCGAGATTGGTATGTTAAGGGGACGATGGAAAAGCTGTACCGTCGTAGAGCAGTTCTTGCAGTAGTCGGCCAGTGTCCTCATGTAAGGTGGGTCTACCCCTTGGTCAACGAGCGCTGACAATATGGCATTAGTCTCGACACTGTCAAACGCTTTCTCTTAGTCAGCGAAGATTAGAACGAGAGGTAGGCGGTACTCTCGGCAAAATTCGTCCCAAGCTGTTTGTGCGAAGCATTGAGGCACTTTCACCAAAGGCTCTCAGTCCTCTAAGAAGCAGGTCGTA